ATAAATAAATGAAGGCAATGTAATTGGTATATTTTGTCTAGGCTGGTAAAATTATTACCAAAATAAGTTTTCCTATTTTAAAAAATTCTTTATTTTTTATAGCTTCCAGTCAACAGTAGAGTTCTCCTATTCTGTATTTACCAACACCTTCATGTTGTCAAACAAGGCTAAACTTTTGAAATATATAAGCCCCTCATTTCTGTAGGAATAGTGCTGGATAGAATCTGCAAACCCTTCTTTACCTTCTCTGATGTCAGTAAGAAATCAACACCCATGTCGATTGGCAAACCACTTTAAATATGTTCTTTAAAACTTGGCCATTATCATTTTGGTACATAGGGTGGTTAAAGCACTATTTAAATTTTAACCATCTCTCTCTCTCTCTTTTTTTTTTTTGCCAGGGCTGGGTTTGAACCTGCCACCTCCAGCATATGGAGCTGGCACCCTACTCCATTGAGCCACACGTGCCGCCCTTAACTCTCAATATATTTTTGAAAATAATTTTTTTCAGTTTATTTTTTATTTATTTTTTCTTTTTTAAGGTTGAGAGAACTGGCTTTCTCATTAAATGGGAAAGCTGGCTGTTTGAACCACGGTGATATGTTCATGTCACTCTTATCTCTCTGGAGTTTATGTTAAACCAAAAAAAATTATGGGAGGAAATGACAGCTCATTGCTCGATTAATAATTCTAATTTTTAAAATTTTTCTCATAAAATGAAAGACTAGAAGATGCTAATGCTATCATCTGCACGGCTGATTTTTCATGATGCCAACCAATCTGGCAAGTATTCTGGCCTCTGGCAGGTTTGGCCTAATAGGGGACCATCCACCCAGGGGCCAGCCCCACAGAGAAATGACACATTACATGCTTCCCAGAGGGTACAGCCGGGGGCCGCTTTGCAGCTCTGCTGGCAGCACAGGAACTTCCCATCCACGAAGAATCCACTGTGGTACTTGATCAGCAGGTGGGGGTTGCCCCTTATCTCTGAGGAGCAGGCAGGAAGAAAATGCAATGTGAGCAAACGCTGGCCCAAGACAAGCAACGTGTTCGGTAACACATTCAGTAAGTGCTGTTATCACAGAACAATAAAAGCCCCATTTGGCCAGCAACCAAGATCAGAGCAGATATAAGCCTTTCACTGGGAAGGTAATAAGCTGAAAAAAAAAAAAAAAAAAAAAAAAGCCTTACCATGTGTATAGTGAAGACAATACAAAAACTGATATCATTCTTAAAGGAAAAAAACTAGCAAAAAAATACGTTTACAGATCAGCTTGGTGTTAAAAGTGTAGGAATACATTTATAAAGGAAGCGAGTGGGTAGCACAGGGTGTTGTCCTGTGGCAGGAGGCTTGAGGGTAGGACTAGATCTTAACAAAAAGAAAAAGAGGTCCTGGGCTCGGCACCTGTGGCTCAAGTGGTTAGAGCGCCAGCCACATACACTGGAGCTGGCGGGTTCGAATCCAGCCCAGGCCTGCCAAACAGCAATGACAACTACAACCAAAAAATGGCCGGGCATTTTGGCAGGCGCCTGTAGTCCCAGCTGCTTGGGAGGCTGAGGCAAGAGAATCGCTTAAGCCCCAGAGTGGGAGGTTGCTGTGAGGTGTGACACCACAGCACTCTACCCAGGGTGACAGCTTGAGACTGTCTAAAAAAAGAAAGAAAGGAAGGAAAGGAAAGGAAAGAAAAAGGTTCTGATAAGAATATACTTCCCCATACTTTTTAATTTGAAAAATGTCAAATGACACAGAAAGTTGTAAGGACACCCACATCCCCTTCCCCTAGATTCCCTAACTGTCGACTGTTCACCACATTTTCTTCATCTCTTTCTCTTTGTACATACAGAATTTAATTTTTTACCATTATTATATTGTGCTTAATAATTTGAGAGTAAGTAGCAGATATTATGACATAAATAACATCACACGTAACTGGAGTGATGTTCCTTACATCATAATATCTGCTACTTACTCTCAAATTATTACATTAGTCCAGATTTAGCATGTAATATCTATTAACAAGGACATCCTCTTACCTAATTATAGTGAAGTTATCGAATTCGGGAAATGTAACAATGAGACAATATTATTACTTAACCTATTTCATATTCAAAATTTTTCCCATGGTTCTAATAACAGCCTTTGTGATCACTTGTTTTTTTCTGGTCAGGATCCAAGTTAGAATCATACATGATATGTAGTTCGTTTCCCTTAATCTATTTTATTTTATTTTATTTTCCGAGACAGAGTCTCACTTTGTTGCCCTAGGTAGAGTGTCATGGTGTCACAGCTCACAGCAACCTCAAACTCTTGGGCTTAAGGAATTCTCTTGCCTCAGCCTCCCAAGTAGCTGAGACTACAGGTACCTGCCACAGTGCCCTGCTATTTTTATTCTGTAGTTGTCATTGCTGTTTGGCAGGCCTGGGCTGGATTCCAAACCGCCAGCTCTGGCGAATGTGGCTGGCACCCTGGCCACTGAGCTACAGGCGCTGAGCCGGTTTCCCTTAATCTAGAAGAGTCTCTCACCCCTTCTTTGACTTTCATGACTTTGGCATATTTATACTAAGAATTGAACAGTTTATGGAGCTACTTCTCTAGGAATATGTGCACGTGAAAAAGCCATGGCAATATGAAATGGCATGCTAATCTACAACTGTATCTGTAACAAATTAGGCACTTTTGAAATGCAACAGAGAAACTTTCACATTCTTAGTACAGAATATCTGAGGAAGAGTCTCTATGTGAGGAGCACTAGTTCTATCCGTGGCTTCAACTCTTGATTTTTTTTTTATTAAATGATAGCTGTATATATTAATGCAAACATGGGGTACAGTGTAGTGTTTTCATATACATTTTGAAATACTTTCATCAAGCTGGTTCACATAAATTTCATGTCATTTGCATAGTCATTGTGTCAAAACATTTATATTCTAGTTCTAGAAAAGTTCACCTGTACCCTTGTTAGACAGATATATAGGTGATCTTGCCGGTCACCCTCCCACCACCCAGCCGCCCTTCTCCCCTCCCCTTCCCCACCCCCTCCCCCATATTCTTGGGCTAGAATTAAGTTGTATCTTTCATTTGAGAGCTATAAATTAGTTTCATAAAAGGGCTGTGTACATTGGATACTTTTTCTTCCATTCCTGTGATACTTTGCTAAGAAGAACATTTTCGACTCTTGATTTTATGTTCACCTTGAGGATTCCTTATTTTGATCCCAGGGGAGTTCTGCTTCTCCTTTTCAAGCCTGACTCAAGGACGTGTATGGAGATAATAATAACTACTTTTCCGGGTAGTTATTGGGAGGATATGAGATTATACATATATATATATAACACATATGTTATTATGTATATGTATTATTATTAAGCACCCACCAGTGTCTGGCCCAGGCTAGGTGCTCAATGCACAGTGGCTTTCCTGATGTCATTCCCTTATTTTGATTCTGTTCAGCATAGCTGAAAATGCTGGCATTAAACACAAACTCTACTAATAAGAATTAAAGGGAAATTATTACATAAATCACAAAAAGCAAAAGGAGTTAAGATTATAAACCACAGGTTTCTTATCTTTGCCCCAAATGGTCACTGCGATTCTGTGGGCACATGACCTGCCTTCCTGCTCTCTAAGCTCCTGGTCTACACGTGTCAGGATTCCTATCATTTCCTACTACACGGATTTAGTTTCCTGGGTTACTAATTCTTTTTCCAACTACGTCCCCACGCCCGCATTGCAACACTCCCACCACCTGATAATGACAGTAAGAGGAAGTCACACATTAATATACGTACGGGACTTTATATTTATCTATTTTCCCTCATATCTACCATCTCATTTCATCTATTCAACAACCCTGGGGAGTAGTAGCTATTCCTGTTATCATGGCTTTCACAGAGTTAGATAAATGGCAGGGCAGAGAGGTTGTATAACTTGCTCAAGTTCACAAGCCTAATAAATAGCAGGTCTGAGACTTAGCCCCAGGCCTTTTCTTCTACATTCCGATGCATGGATGCCAACTTCTCTCTGCCAACCCCCCTTCAGTTTGCATTTATGGAAGGAAGTGAAGGAAGGGCATCATCCACATCTGGTTAGCCAAATTCAGAACCATGCCAGCTAATACTCCTTAAGTCCCCACGAAATCAGCCTGCACTTTCCAAGTGTAGGTTACTGTTTGGAAAATTTTATCTATCTACCAGTGTCTATGTACCTCAGTTTCTAATGCTTGAGCCGAATGATAGACAGACACAAAAAGGAGGCATCATTGTATCAGGATGAAACTTTGTGGGAGAGAAGATGTGAGTGAGGGGGGCTGTTTTCCTGCGGTAGGTTGGGTGGCCAACTTGACAGCCAAACCCACTCACCTCCTCTCCCTCTGTCTTCCAGCACAGAGGGTGGAGAAAACAGATGCTGTCTTCGTAGCTCCTTCGTACAGAGAGATGGCCTGGAGACCCAATTCAGAGCCCTGTGACATGAGCCAAATTTTGCAAGGGGGCTTCTGGGAAAGCTCAGGGAGCCTTGAAAGGTGGTGGAGCAGAAAAGCTAGAAGGAGTCTGCATCCCTGCTGACCTCCCTGGGCTGCCTACTGAGGTCTACTGAGCACTGGTTACTGTGGGAGAAGATTAAAAGTGGATTCATTTCAGCAACTGTTTGGTGTCTTTTTTTTTCTGCAGTCTTTGGCAGGGGCCCGGTTTGAACCCGCCCCACCACTTCCGGTATATGGGGCCCACGTTCCACTCCTTTGAGCTACAGGCGTCGCCCTGTTTGGTGTCTTTTGACCTATGGCCTAAGACGATAAAAATAACTTATTGTGCACATGGCAGTCCTGGTGATGAGGCCTCTGTAGTTTTATGAGGAGCTAAGGAGATGTGTTTTTGTTTTTCTCTGTTCTCCCTTTATACTTCAATATTTCTTCCCAGGGGCCATCTGAACCTGTCCAACATATATAGCTCTAGAAGGGCCCGCAGAGGGAGACTGTCTTGCACACAGGACATGTCTACATAGTAACTGACGTCTGCCCAGGAAATCCTCCCAAGGAAGACTAAATGGAAATCTTAGAGTGTGTGGCCCACACAGTAACCACAGTGCCTCACGTTGTGTGTAGTTTATTTTAAGGTATGTATGAGTGTCTCATTTATAGCTCATGACCACTCTGAGATAAAAGGAATGTGATCTCCCATGTTATACATCAGGAACTGAGACCCAGAGAGGTTAGATAGTTTTGTTAGTAACACAGCAAAGCAGGACTTGGCTTTAGGTTTGTCTGACCCTAATAGGGATGCCCTTCTCACGTCAATAAGCTGGTAGTGGGCTAAAGGGAGGCTTCTCTCCCCCAGTGGACCACCTGATTATCCTACAGAATGGATTACTAAGCTTTTTGTGCAAAGGGGAAATTAAGGCCGATGTGTAAAAAAGGCTATATTTGCATCAGAGTGGAATAGGTGTGTGTAATTTGAAGTGTACTGAGAAAGAGCCATAAATTAAAACTTAAACAAATAAAATCTTTCTCCATCTTGGAGCTTAATACCTGAAATTCCACAGATAGGTTCATTCATTTGTGTCAAATATTGTCATCACACCATTACCCACCTTTGAAATAAAAATATCACAGACAAACACATCATACCAGTAAATTACTAACAATGATTCCCTCCCTTCTACCAAAGATTGTTACCAGGGCAGCCTTAAAATCATGAACAAAAGTTTCATTAAATCTTCAGTTTTGCCTAGCATTTACAATGGACTAGTTCCAAAAGTTGGGTTTGGGTAATTGAGTCCCCAGCTCTCCATTAGTAGGCATGTGACATTGGCCATGTATTTTAACCTTATTGTCTGAAAAATGGAGAATAATATTACCCCTTTCCATAGAGTTGTCAAAAGGATTACCTAAGAGAATATTTACTAGATAAAGAACTTGGTGAAGTGGCTGGCAAATGGTAAATACTTAGTAAGTATTAAATGTAAATTTCTATAAACATCAAGAATACGGTAGTAGCCACAAGACTTGACACAGCCCCATGAGGACCTAGACTTTGCTCTGGAAAAGACAGGCACAATGGGTGCAGAGCAGGTGACCTGGCTTCCCTCAGGGTGCTGGGAGGACACAATACCAGCTCTGTGTGGAGTTGAAAAGGAAGTCTTCCCATATGTAACAATGAGAATGCAAAGTGAGGGTAAGTCTGACACACTTCCTGAGGTTGGTAGGAAAATCAGTAGATTCCTGATTGGCCATTGGGTCCTTTTACTGCCATATCTTTCCACCACCAACCTATAAAAGAACTCAATTGATGACTCTCTTTTATGACATTTGTTTGACCTTTCTCTTTCAACGTTTCATTTTTTAAAATTTCTTCTTTTTTTATTACCTTTCTGTAATGCTTTCAACCACTGACTTCGACTTTCTTCATTTGATGCATAGACATAGAGAAGCCCATCTTTATAGACGATCTGGAAAGGAAAAGATTTGGTGTGTTTAGATATAATTGCATCACAGTTCTCTCGGCTGCACCTGCAAATTTTTGCTATTCAAAAGAAACCTTGAGGTTGCTTATATAGTACACATTAGCTCTGGAATTAGATGAAAAAAATCTACTTTTTAAAATCCTCCAACCCTCAATTTGTTTTATCCCAGACACTTGTACACTTTGGAAAATACCACCAATCATGCACTTGACAGTGGTGAACATCGAGGTCTTAGCAGAGATGTCCTGGCTCACGGAGAATTATAATATGCTAGATATTACATGTGTCTTCAGGAGTGTTCTGATCCATCCACCTGCCAGGGCATGATTCCCTTTACTGCCCAGTGGAAAATGTTAAACTGCTCTATCTTCCAAGGATAAAATGTTCTTTACTTTGCTGTGTCATCTTTGCCAATTTCCATATATTCTGATCCTTATACAGTTCATACTTACATGGAGTAAAAATATGTCTCTTTACTACTTAAATCTGCGGCATCCGAGGAATCCCCAGAATAAGCCATTTTCCATTCTCTAAGATAATTATCTGAATGTTTGACAATTACAGTGCCTTCTCCAGATCCTTCTCTAGTTTAGTCAACTCTTGTTGGTAAATAATACGTAGCACGTATTGAACACCTACTGGTTGTTGGGCTCACTCCTAGCTATTTTCATATCTTAATCTTAGTTCAACTCTATGAAAAATATAAGAATATGCCTTTTTACAAATGCGGAAACATTCAGAGAGAAGTTGTGTATGTGTTTATGGTTACACAAATATATGTGTTGGGGCTCAGAGCTCGGTGGGGCGCCAAAGCCCCTCTTGAGTACCCCTCAAAGTACCCTCTCTTGAGGACCCTACGTCTCTGTGATATGAGTTTGCAGCATCTTCCATAACAATGCTCTGCCTGGATTTCTCCCAGTTGGGTAATACTTTTTTTAAGTGGAAAGTATGGGTTGTTATTGTATTTCATTTTTGACCAGAGGTCCCTAATACTAGCCCTGGGTAGTCTGGCCATTTGAAAGACAACCCATCATCTGCCTTTAGATCAGCAATGTAAGTATTCATGATATAATAGGGGTAGGACATGATTTAGATGCAGCCACTTGTCAAAAGGCACTGTAGGTATACTCTCCATATTTAAAATACTCGGTAAAGTGAAAACTCCTTAGCATGGTGTGCGAAGCCCTTCCTGGACCCTGCCCACCTCTCCAGGCTCATCTGATCCACCCTCTCACGGGCTGCTTTATTCCTAGGAACCACTTGGAGCTCTCCAAATACACACACCATGCTATTTCCCCCATCAGTGCCCCGATACCAGCTGCTTCTTTTGTCCTGCTGTGCATCCCATCTTTTCTGGGTTAAATTTTCCTTGTCCTTCCCAACGTGAGTGTCACCTGCAATAGAACACTTCCCTGACCTCTTGGATTGAGGCGTAAAGCTTCTGTGTCCTGAGACTCCCTGGATGCACTCTGCTGACCTTCATCTTAACACCCATCCTACTGCTTTATAATGGTCTGTTAGTCTATTTTGCCACCTCTTTGTAATTGCCTTGGGGCAAGGCCAGTGCTTTATTCCCTCCAGTATGCCCACTACCATGTCGCACATCAGACTCTCAATAATCCTCGTTAAAAGAGATAGTCAGACCCGAGGCTGGTCAGGCCACTGCTACTGACATGCTCATCTTGCTTCCCCTCCCTACAAGGAAGGCAGATTGGCGGACAGATTTTTAACAAAATGCCCAACTCCCATCTGGAAATATCCCAAGCATTGGCATTGTCTCAGTGGGTCATTTTACTGGCTCATAATTTTTCCTAGATACACTGAGTCCATTCTAGAAAATACTGTATTACAGGAAGAAGCACTCACCCAATGTAATGTCATTCCTCCCTTTACCTGAAATGGGTACTGTCGCTCCACGGGTGTCTGCTCCTCGAGATTTACTTTCTCCACACACCTGATTTTCTTAATTTCAATCGATCCTTTTCTGCTGCCTCTTTTCTGAATTAAAAAACAAAACGGAAGATACTTCACGTGGTGCGCCATGGTGCACAAGGAAAAGCATAAAACTAAAGTTATGCTTGGGAAGGACACTGGAGGACAAGGTGGGTGATGGAGAATTATTTCCTATTACTCCATAATAACCAAAATGCAATGACAACACAATCTAATTTTTGAGTGTGGACATAAACACATATGCTCTGCAAAAGTAAGTCTTCAAGCAGTCATTACTAATCTTCTCGGATAATTTTGAAATTTGTTCCAAATCACCTACTATGTGGTTAATGTACTCAGGAAAAGATTTAACTCCTCAAAGCATCTTCACTTTGTTTCAGTTTTATAGTAGTATTTCAGTACTTCTACCATGATAAAATCGTCACGTGTAAAGGAACAGTCTTATTTCCAGCACTGTCTTAAGGCAGCGTTTCTGATCCTCAGGACTATTCCCATCAGGGGCTGGGTAATTCTTCACTGGGGACTGTCCTGTGTGCTGTAAGGTCTTCAGCAGCACCCCTGATCTATATCCACTAGATTCCAGTCACAGGTATTGTCCCTCTCTCCCAGTTGTGACAACCAAAAAAGTCTCTAGCTATTACCCACTGCCCCTTCCAGGGCAAAAGCACCTCCAGCTGAAAACCACTGTGCTCAATTAAGTTGCCTTAGTAACGTTAACTAATGTTTTTAAATCCTTTATCTTGAATTCATTCTACTTTACTTAAAAAAAAGGCAGTGTGATAAGCGGACAGAAGATTCTTTCATTACAGTCAAGCACTTTGTGGAGACTTAGAAAAAAGTAATAAATAGTATTAAAACAATGGAATAAATGTGTCTCACCATTTTGTCATATTCATAGTAGGAAAGATTTGTTTTGGTCAAGACAAAAAGGCGCTCTTTGTAATTACTTGGTGACATTTTCTTCTTTTGCTGCGACCTTTTGAGAAGAAGTTCTTCTAGAATGGGTTTGGTGTCCATATTATCATCCTGAACGAAATGAAATAATGAAAATGAGTGTTTGTGATATCTAGCTTTCACATTTTTTTTCACTCAACTATTTCCCATCCAGCGATAATACAAATGCTAATTTTTAAAAATGAGACTGATTGAGGTTCATACTGTAAAGCACACAACATCTCCAGTTTCTTCTACTGCCTTTGTTTTATAAGTATGTTGATTTTTAAAAAGCATTTTCTGTGTTTGACTCATTTCCCACAGAGGATCATAAATTCACCATCTTCGTAGCAACCCTCCAGACACCCTCATCACCATGCTCTTTATTCCTTAAGCATTCTGCTTGTGGATTTCAATTGTAACATCTAAAAACCTGAACTCCAGACAGCTCACCACGTAGGAAGTAACTGATCAGCTAAAATCTCGCCCTACGAATCTGGCCAGTGGTTTGGCCAAATTCTCCACAAACCACTGTGAGACACTATTATCATTAGGACACCCACAGCCCGATCATGGCCAGACATATAACACAAAAGATATGATTGATATAAATTTTAAAAAGGTAGAACTTTCAAGATGTCTGAGGATTTTAAATCAAAGCGAATGTCCAAGATAGAATAAGATGAGGAAAATATATTAGGGTGCAATAAAAAATGCTCCCAAAAGAGATTCAAAAGAACTGGCAAAAGTTAGTCTGTTTACAAAGTATAAAACACTCCTGCTTTTTCTTTCAATAGAAAGCATTCAAACAAGGTGTTTCTGAAAAAAAGGCATTAATCTTCCAGTTCTACTAAGACTGCTGCTTGAAGCCTTATCTGATACTAGGTCTGACCTTGAAAAGTAGCGGCGCTAAGCAAGGGGCAGCAGGGGGCCACAGACACAAACTTCCTCATGTTCTCCTTTGCTTCATGAAATTGCACCATTATTTGCAGTCAGATGCCCAATAGTTAAGATCTTTGCTTATTGATAATCTAAAGGTAATTGATTTTACTCACCTTAGATTTGCGAGAGCCGAAGTATATGTGTGGGTCCTTAACTTTAACTCTTAAGCTCTAAGCAAAACGTTTCTGCTTTGAGGCACCATCACTCATATTTCCTCTGGCTATGCCAGGGTCATGCATTAAAAAGAAGACATTTGCATCTTATTTATCCCTCCTGATCAGGAAGCATCCACACAGGCGTTGCTCTGTCTAGATGGAGGCAGGGGCCAAGTAAGCCCATCCAATCATGAGAGGGCACTTTTACTGGCCCAGGAATGTGATGGACCCTCTATGACAGGGGAGTAGAAAGAAAGGGAGACTAAGAAATACAGCCTTGTGCGGGGGACTTAATGGGGATTGCATTAAATCTACCCAGAAGAAAAAAATCCATTTTACCATTAAGACATTTGTACTAGGACGTTTACAGTAGCTCACTTCACAATCACCAAGAGGTGGAAACAACCCACGTGCCCACCAACCCACGAATGGATTAATAAACTGTGGCTTTTGTATACCACTGGAATACTATTCAGCCACAAAGACAGTAACTTTACATCTTTTGTATTTACTTGGATGGATCTGGAGAACATCCTCCTAAATAAAGTATCACAAGAACGGTAAAGCAAGCATCCATTGTACTCAATATCAATATGAAACTAGTAGATGAACAACTACACATGCACAGGAGAGAAAAAACACATTTAAATTCCAGAAAGGGAGAGGGAGGCGGGGGATGGGTAAGCTCTCACCTAATGGGCACAATGTAGGCACACCTCCTGGGTGAAGGGCTCAACTACAGCTTGGACTTTACCTAACAAATGCAGACAGTGTAACCTAATCACACCTACCCTTATATTAATCTAAAGTTAAAAATAAATTTTAAAAGAAGTACAGCCTAGCACTGAATCAACCACAGTCAGTCCCCACTGACTTTCCTACCAACATAGATTGCACAACTCTGCAAGTGGGGATTAAGAAAACCAGCTTTTCTTATTTATTTACATAGATCAGGAGACCATTTGCTAATCCCTAAAATATCCTTCAAAGGCACTGTTTGATCTATAGGCACAAGAGTGGAAATTGTACTCATTAAATGTAATTAAAGCCTTGGTTACCTTTTGCTACAGATACTGTTTTGCCTATTTTAACAAAAGATCATTCTTTTGCAAAACTAGAATGAGTTTCGTTTCAGAGTAATGGTTTGCTATTCACTACAGTCACTGGTTCCTTTACCCAAGGCTTAAACACAGGGCAGAGGTCAGGGTGTGGCAGAGCTGGCAGGAGCCACAGGGGCAGGTATGGTGCCTGCCTCTCATGTCTGCCTCCATTGTGAACTCTGCATACTTCTCCACTCACATAAGCTCGTTTTCTACACCCAAAGTCTATGTCCAGAAGAGAATTTGCTTAAAGACTTATGGAAACTGTGAGAGTCTACTTTTTGCGGGTGAAAGCCCCATTTGGGGAAGCTGTACTACACAGGACGTGGTAATAGGGTACTTTTTTTGCTATTTACATTTCTGCATTGAGACTTGGCACCTGTAGCACAGTGCTTAGGGCGCCAGCCACATACACCGAGGCTGGTGGGTTCAAACCCAGCCCAGGCCAGCTAAACAACAATAACAACTGCAATAACAACAAAATAACAACAACAACAAAAGTAGCCAGGCATTGTGGGGGCACCTGTAGTCCCAGCTACTTGGGAAGCTGAGGCAAGAGACTCGTTTGAGCCCAAGAGTTTGAGGTTGCTGTGAGCTGTGACACCACAGCACTCTACCCAGGGCAACATAGTGAGACTCTGTCTCAAAAATTTTTTTTCTTTAATTAAAAAAATACATTTCTACATTGAAAAAATTTACTAATAAAACAGAGAGAGAAACTGTGGAGATTCTTGTCAAATTTCTTTTAAGTCCATAGCTAAAGTATTGTTTCTTAAAGCAGCGTGATAAATAGATCTGGTTAATTAAATAGAAAGTTTACTTTCCAATTTTTTTTCAGATGCTAAATCAACATGTGACATGAGGACACTTTGAAAAATGCCAAGGCCAATGTCCAAGGTCATATGGCATCTTCCCTGGCACTACATGGTGGTATGCACACTTTTCTGTTTATGTTGTAGAACTTTCACACATGTCACACTAAAGATGGGCTTTTTGGAATTTTATATTAAAAATTAATAAGGTGAGCCACAGACACCACTGAGAAATTCACAAGTTGCCTCTGTATGTGGAAGAGAAAAAGAACACGAGTACAAAGGACGGTATCAAGCCCTCAAGTACCTTCTCTAACAGATCTTTAAGAGTTTACAAGCATCATTGCATCTGACATAATATAACTTGTCAAAGTTTGACATGATTGTTCATTCCAGAATCCTGCCCTTTGTGAACTTATTGGATTTCCTTTTAAAAATCATACATGATATATATTGATTCTATAAAACCAAGAACTTCAGACAGGCAAAAGAAAAATACAGTTAGCATGTCTTTAGATGTTTTTCTTAGATGTTTTTCTTTTCAAATATACAAGCTCGGACAATTAAGTTCATGCATTAATCCTAGAAAAAGTGTTACATCCCTCATTGCTGAATATCACTATGCTCCCCTTTTAAGTTCTCCCCCTTGGGAAGTTACTCATCGATGCCAGTGCCCAGTCCACCCTTCAAAGCAAGACCCTCAGAGCTGTATTTGTATAGCACACAAAAGTATGCAGCAACCATAATGAATGCCATTCAGCAAGATACTGCCACATATCAACACCAACACAGCTACGAGACCAAGGTTATGAAACTTTACCGAGTTGTTTGTACAGCACGGCCAACATAAGCACACAGTGGCAAGTTCACGGACTTAACTGGCAGACCCCATAGGATGTCTACATGCACGTGCTTATTTTCTCAAAAATAGGTTCACATACTGTGCACACGGGTTTATAATCTGTTGTGGTCACAGAACAAACTTGTAGAGCCATGTCCTTCAGGTTCCATCCAACAGGGCCAGTCCTCCAATGCTCCACTCCCTAACTTGGACTCCCCAAGGCTGCAGAACAAACTTGAAGAACACTGTTTGGATGACTCAAGCTTTTGTCAACTCTGGATCGGTTTCTTCTAAGACAAGCTCTGTGGACTTTGTTCAGGTTTGGACCTGCCTTTCTCTTTTGCTTTGCTTCTGCCCCTTCCTAATCCTTCTTCTTTCTCCTCTAAATAGCCTACATTCTAAATTGAAGACATTTCTATGGTCTCCCATAGTATAGGAGGTGATAATTGCTGATGAAACATCTTTACAAATGCAATCTCTCCTCCCTTGTATTAGAAGGATAAATAAACAAGGCTTAGGTGCCACTCAAATGTTTGCCCAACAACCAGCAGACTCTGCTCTGCCTATCCTTATTTTCCCAAGGGAAATTCAGTTGGCAAGGTCAAACAAAATGAAACAATAAACCTCTCAAAGTAAACTGAGACCCTAAACCTAGTCAGTATTACCCACAAATCTACTTCCACAGAGGAGCTTGGGAATTTGGCTGGTCTCTCGTATTAACCACCCCCATAGAAGAGACACACCAATTTGCTTACCAAATAGCCCAGGCTGCCTATTTCCATAAGGACATGAGACTAGAATGAGATTAAAGCAGCACAGGGGAGGCACCCACTGCCCCCGCCACATAAAACGGGCAGAAATCAATACAGTATTTTACATGAGGAAGCCAGCTACCATTACGTAACTTCTTATATACATAAAAGGTGCGTGCTGAATTAACATGACTCGTAATCACTATGATTGTTTAGGATTTATAAGGCAGTTCCACTTGGCAATTCTATTTGCACACTTGACTGTGGGCCTACAGTGTGCCTAAGATTGAGTGACTTGTACCAAAAATAAAGATCAGCAAGATCAGTTTTCCGTGTCCATGAGTGACACTGAACAGGTTTGAGAGACAGGCTCCACAATGAGTTCACATGTCAGGCTGCTGTGGGGTGGTGGACTTGGAAGTCTTGGCGGAGGTTACTGGACTGTCACTTGTGACTTTAGTCACCCTGACCAAGCTCCTTCCCTGTTCTAACCT